CTAGCAGGATTCGTCGCTGCGTTGTGCGAGAGAAAACAGGAATTATTCATCTGTTTTTCGACTCCCATAACATATATCAAATAGCACCTATGAATAAATATGCTTTAGGTTTTTACAATTGAGTAGCTACGTCAATGTTTTAACCAGGAGTTTATCGTTAATCTAACGATTATAAAATAAGGCCTTTTTAAGAATAGTGAAAGAGCATCGATTCACTAAATCTAGTCTTCACCCTGACAGAAGAACATCGTTCGGACAGGGGAGTTTAACATTAAAAATGTCGTCGTTCAAAAGAGGTTTCTTCGCCTTTTGTGGGACAAATTTAATACTATGAACTGCAGTTTACTTTTAGTTATTAACAATGGCAAACGGAATGTCAGACATTATTTTGCAGCGGTGAGTTCGCATTGCGTTCGCTCACTCGAGGCGCACGTACAATATTAAATCACAATATAGACATAGATTGAAAACTGATTTTGCTCATAAAACAAGTTTAAAATGTGCCCGCATTCTCCACCATTTGTAAGGATTCAGGGCGGATCTAATCCGTGGGGAATTTGCATATCATAATTAATAATTGGTAATTAATAATTATTCATACATGTTTGGATTAGATCAGTCTTACATGTTAATAAATCTCCCGATAAGAGAGGATCTGTCATTCTACCTGCATGCGTGCATGTGAATCCCTGAAATTAACCACAAGTTGATTGCAGTTAATTACACGGACCATGTTTCACAAACAGGTAAAATGAATTAGCTCAATTGTCAGGATAATATTTGTGGGATCCACAATATCATCTTACTTTATAGGATTTCAGGAAACGCAATTCTCTGGCCAGAAGAATTGGGTTTCCCGCCCTATCAACACATACTCTTTAAAGTATCTTTAATTCGTAAAGCTTGTAGCATAAGTTAGACCTTTGGCACTTAAGGGACTTGAAATTGAGCAAAGAGACAGCACATCAATCAAAATGAATATATAATTAATTTAATAGAGGCATGACTACTTATGTATTTACTACGGTTACACGGGATATATGTATTTACAAACACATAGACATCAATGAACAATACAATAAGACATCAATGAACGAGAAATGCGTAAAGTTTGGACAATGGATAACTTACACGCGTGAGCGAGTAAGAGAGAGAGGAAAGGGGATGGGGAGAGAGAGAACAGAGAAAATTGGGAGAATTTCATTGGCAGGAAGACATTCACCTCTCCGATTACAACACGAAACATCATCTTAAAACTTCTTAGAAGCTCTATAAAGAGATATACTTGCGCAAGTTTCTTGGTCTCTCTGTATCGCGGCAATCCTGCGCGGCCTTGTCTGGCCGCGTGCGTGAGAGGATTCCTTTGTGTGTGAGGAAGCATCATGTGGGCTGCTTGGCGTGCGTGTTGAACGGAGGTTCACAGTCTTTGGGGTAACATTACCAAAGGAAAATAGTTCGGCTGAGTTCGTTTCACTTCGTAGAACGGGGGGAATCACGAGGAGTTAATGTTCCATCTGTGCATGGCTGGCGAAGAAGCGCGTGCTTCGCTCGGTCCGGCGCGTCACGCGGTCACGTGCGCGTGTTTCTCCTTCAAAGCGAGCGCGCGCTCGTTTAAAGGTCCCTTGTAGATGGATTTGCTGAAGAGATATGTCACGGGGTTTTCTTTTCAATCGTCGATTGGAATTAAACACAGAGACTTATCTACAACTGAAAAACACAAACTAAACTAGAAACAAATAAAAGAAAGGCATTCAACGAAACTTTTGGCGGCCAAATTCTCTTTGTCTTGTCAAAGTTAAACTATGGCCGTGTCCGCCTCTTTTATGACCAGTCAGAATTTGTCAGAATCATTCCACAAGATGGTAAAAACATAGAAAACATACATTTTACTGTAATCTTCTGTATCTGACCAAATCAGTTGGAACGAGATAATTAAAACGGTACCAAACAAAACATTTACACATAATTGGAATACGAAGATACATCTTAAAACATAACTATAAACTCAAGAGTTTCACTGATACGCTAGGAGATCATATCTAGACTACCATGGACTGGGAAACACACAGACATACAGGAATATATCGTATACAATTGGTAATGGCTCGTTTTATGAGTGTAATGTAAAAGTCCATCATGTGTGTGTGTTGGTTTGTGTGTGTGTGTGTTAGAGTTCTGTTATCTCTCTTGCAGAAATGGGGGAAGGCATGGAATGTTCAAGCATTTTATGGCTGGCCATTCCTGAGAGAGAGTGTGTGTGTGTGTGTGTGTTGTACACACGTTCTTGCTTGAGGAAAGGGGGAAGTCAACTGACAGTCCATACCTTACAGGGCAGAAACTGGAACAAGGTACTACATGAGTACTTAACCAGAAACCACTTTGTGCAGAATCAAGCTGACTATTGTGTGTATACATGGGAAACAGCTAATGAAAAAGTGATCATTGATTGTGGCAAGTGATGAAAATGTTCTTAGACGTGTGAAGGACATGATTACTGAAAGATTCCAAATGAAAGACTTGGGCAAATTAAGGCATTTTTTAGGTGTTGATTTTAACCAGAGTGACAACTGTGTGAGAATGTCACAAGCAAAAATATGTGACAAAAATATTGCAAAGGTTTAACATGCAGGATTGCAAACCTAGATCGACTCCTTGTGAACAAAAACTTGACTATAAGAATGATGCTGAAAAGATGATTGATGTGAAAAAATATAGAGAGGCAGTGGGAAGCCTCATCTATTTCACCATCTGTACTAGACCTGATATAAGTTTTGTTGTAAGCAAACTGTCACAATATTTCACAGAACCAACTGTTGAGCAATGGTCCACAGTTAAACAGGTACTAAGGTATCTTAAAGGTACAATTGACAAATAACTGTGTTACAGGAAATGTAATGAGACACTGGGAATAAGAGCATACAGTGATGCAGACTGGGCAGCTAGTAATGACAGACGTAGTACAACTGGCTATTGTGTAAGTTTAACTGAATGTGGTGCTTTGATTTCATGGAAAACAAAGAAACAGCCAACTGTCGCACTGTCCACCTGTGAGGTAGAGTATATAGCCCAAGCCACAACCATACAGGAGTGTCTCTATCTTGAACAACTGTTGAAAGATCTTGATACATGTCAATACTCGCAACCTAAAGTATATGAAGATAACCAAGGTACAATCGCCTTAGCAAAGAATCCTGTGAGCAGGCAAAGATGCAAACATGTAGACATCAAGTACCATTTTATTAGGTCTTCTGTAAATAATGGTGACATTACATTAGTGTATTGTCCCACTAATGAGATGGTAGCAGATGTGTTGACAAAGTCTGCAACCAAGTGTAAGATGATGAAGTTTGATGCATTTATTTTTGGAAAATGATGCGTTCTATATTAACAATGTGAGAGCAAGTGGGGGTGTTAACCGTGTGCTCTCATTGTGCATTATGTTTTTTTTATTTTTTTATTATTATTGATTGATATTTATGCATGAAATATCACGTGATGAATAATGGAAGTGTGTACATTTGTGATTGGTTGTTTAATGAATAAAATCACCTTGAGTGAGCACAGCTGTAGCTGTGTGTGTGTTGCAAGTCAGATACGTTGTTGCGTTTAATCTGTGAACAGTCACAATTGAAATGGCAAGAAAGATTGAGGTGGCAACCAGAGAGCAGGCTGGAAATTCAGAGTGGCATCAGAATAACCTCCTCTCACTTCAGAGAGGTGTGCTTTGTCAGGGGAGATGTCTCAGCAAAGTCTCTGGCTAAACGCATCCTCAAAGGAATGAGGCAGACAGCCAAGATGAAAAGAGTTGCACACACACATAACTGTACATTTCTAAGTTAACTGTTACCCTAGCTTGCAATACGTTGCATTATGATCACTGTATTGCGACCATTCAACTCAAATTTAGAAACATCTTTTACTCAAACAGGTGCAGATATGGAGTTTATGGAAGCACAAGAATACTGCAAAATAAGGAATGTTAACTACATGCCCTGTGGCCTAATTGTTCACGCTGACGCCCCATGGCTTGGCACCTCACCAGATGGCCTATATTTGACTCTCTTGCGCAGCCACCTTTTGGCCTAGTTGAGATCAAGTGCCCCAAACGTACAAAAAAGTATCTTTTATGTCTTTGCAAATTACATATTAATACCTACGTTTTAACAATGAAACCAGGCTGGTAGTGCACGTGCATAACGTGCATCATTTGTAAAGTAATGGTCGAAGGAGAAGAGGCAGACAGATACAAAAAAGTAAAAGTGTATTTAAAATCTCTAAAGAGGAAGACATAATATTACTTATCTGCTCTGCATCCTAAACTGAACAGGTTTGGGTGAATGACATTTGTTTGGTCAGGTTTTATGTTACAGTTGAAACCAAGATGCCAACCAAGTGTGTGTGTGTGTGTGTGTGTGTGTGTGTGTGTGTGTGTGTGTGTGTGTGTGTGGAGAAGACGTGCATGACAAGAGAACTATAAGATGAACTTAGACTTAAGACTTTTGCCCGGTTTTCCCTTAACTAGATTGGATCTGACATTTTTTTTTTTTTAACATTACTCAAGATCAAAACTATATTACACATGAACTGAGCTTTACAACAAAGGAACTGAACTTTACTACAAAGGAATTGAACATTAATACAAACAAACTGAACTTTATTACATGACCTGAAAAGTATTATAGACTGTGAAGTGAATTCAAACTGAGTTGCTTGCGGAGCGGTATCAAATTCTTCATATTGATTAATGTTTTATTGTTCTTTGTTTTGATGTGATTGTGTTTGCTTTGCCTTTTTTTTTTTTAATGTTCGAATACTATTTTTTATGTTTGTTGTGTTACAGGAAAGTGTTTCTGTATTCAACATCTGGTCTCCAGCAGCGTAAGTTTTATATCTTTCTACCCCACTAACTGGTCCAGTAGCATAAGTGTTGTGTTGGAGGATGCTAGTGCTACACAAGTCACAATAAACAGCAAAACTGTTGAAGGAAGTTTTGTACTCACCCATGTGGTGATTGCCACTGGTGCTCTTTTTCGGGTCTAAGAAATAGGAGATACAGCAGTGAATTTTTGTGTTCTGTAATATAACTTTTGTTGTGTTTGTGTGTTTTTATTAGCATGTGGATGCATGTGCATGCTTACTGCACATAGGGCTGCCAACTCTCACGCATTCAGCGTGAGACTCACGCAATTGACTTTATGCACAGCTACACTACTTCCTGAACTTAAGCCAGCTCCTTTATTTCCTGTCTTACATTATTGGACACACTGATTAATCCAGGTGTGCCTGATTATTGT